TTCCAGGATTTTTCTCCATATAGTGGACTTCAATGGTGGCCAACGATTTCAAGGTCAAACATGCAGCTTCAGTGCAGCTTTAAAGAGCTCTACACGATCCCAGCCGACGAATAAGGGTCTTATCTAGCAAAACGAACGGTCATTTTCTTAAAAAAAAAAATATATATATATTTATACTAGGGATGGGTGATATGGGCTTAAAAATATATCATGATAATTTCTGGTATTTATTGCGATAACGATATCAATGGCGAAAATTCAGGGAATCCTGTTTCTTTAGAGAAAAGGGTGTTGACAAAATAGGATGTTGTTAGCATTACCAAAGTCCCTTTCAAGGATATCTACAGTCTTTTGCATTACGGAGTACACACGCATCGACTGTTTAATTCATACTGGAAGCCGGAGGGCGCAGAAACTCGACATATGCATTGCAGAAGTAATACTACTTACGACGCTTTATGAAATCCCTAATATGGACAAAGGTATCCAGTTGTCTCTGTAGCTGAATAAAACGCAGATAGAGAAATTTTAACGGAGGGAAATTGAAGACAATAAACATACGACTGCACAAAATATATGGTTTATCTGTGTTCTTCAAGCAATCTTGGGTATTTTTTTATAAGGAAAGTATATTTATAATTAGGGATGCATGATATTATCGGACCAATATCGGAATCGGCCGATAATGGCTTTAAATGTAAATATCGGCCCAATATGAACAATTATGCCGTTATGTCTTGCCGATAAGAGGAATACATTAACTCACATGTGCTCAGGGTGTGCTAGCGATTAGATCACGTCAGCATTGTGGCTCATTCTTGAAGCAAAGTTTTGCCTGAATGATGATTAGATTCACTGTTTTGGATCGCTGCATTAAAACTGAGAATGCAAGCACAGAATGATGCGTTTGGTGTGTGATATAGTCAACAGTAATAACACATGCAGCAGCGGCAGCCTCTCCCGGGTCCTAACGCCTGCTCGATAAAGAGTTTTAATTCCGTAGGGGGCGCTGTTGGCCTACTTCTAATAAAATGAAAGCAAAATAAATAAATAATATTTAGACTGTGTTTCTGATTAAATACAGCAGTAATTGATGCCATAAAATCATGAGTATATTTGATTTAAAGGTCAGAAGCTATAGCTTACATGAAAAAAAAAATCACAATCACAAACATGACACTTAAATTAAATAGTTTTATATATACTGATTTATTCATTAATGTGTAATATGTTATATTTTTTAAACAAAAAATCGGCCAAAATGAGTTGAAAATTATCGGCATATCGGCAAAAATCCAATATTGTGCGTCCCTACTGTAATATGAAACCACGTCTGGTCACAAAAAGAAGTTATTTCAAACACTCGACTAAGTTAATTTTGAAAAAAAGCATGTCAATAAATGGCATCTTTGTTGGACAACAGGTTTGTAAATACACATGCAAAACTGTATCGCACACGTGCTACTGTAGTACATTTATTCAGAACGATTTTTTGTCGCACTGTACAGCCCTAACCAAACCAGTTCCAGATTGTAGAAGTAGCTCATCCTTTAGCGATAAACTCCTCCTCAATTTCACGTCCGGCTTCCGTGATGTCGCTCCGTCCACACAGAAATATGCCAACAACTAGACTTTATCTTTATTATCGAGAGAAGACCAATTCTTATCGTGGGGAGAATTTTTACCGGTACATCACAAACGATAAGATATCACCCATCCCTAATTTATACACTTTTGAACCACAAATGCTCAGCTAGCATTAGCTCAGCGATGTGCTTGCGTGTCTTTATTAAGTGATGTTGGAAAGGTCATGTGTGACGCAGGTGGAAGTACCAGTGTTTACAAAGCGAACATGCAAAAAAAGTCAAATGCCCTTTACAAAAAAAGGTAAAACAACAATGTCGGACGATTTTAAAGTTGGAGGAGAAAATTAGAGTTTTTAAACGAAGTACAAAGACGAAGAAGTAACCGCGCGTGACCTTTCCAACGGTTGTGTCTAGAAGGGATACAGCAAAAACCGGAAGCTAACTATAAATTGAATTTTCTACCTATTAGATTGTGTTTTATTAACGTCTACACCTACCCCAACCCTAAACCTACCCCTTACAATAATGCAAAAATAGTAATTATTGTTGTACAGTGTGAGAAAAATTACGCTATGATGTGCGCATGCCCAGTAGTTTTTGCTGTATGCCATCTAGCCATAACCCTTTTCAACAGGATTACGTAATGTGTGACGCCGCACATGCGCATCGCAGAGCTAGAGCAGTGTTGCCAAGTCCGTGGTTTTCCCGCAGAATTAGGCTACTTTATCGATTTAGCCCCTGGAGTGCAAATTTTACCAGGGGAACCCTGCCAAAAACATACATTTTACCCCCGGAACACGATTTTTAACGGGGAGCCCCCCTCGAAATGCGATTGGGCTAGTTTTGGGCTAGTTTTGAGTAGCAATTAGGCGGGTTTTGTTGCAAAAACCTGGCAACCCTGAGCTAGAGCAAGCCGAGCATTTGTGGTTAAAAAGTGTATAAATATGACATTTTTCCAGAAAATGACCTATCGTTTGGCTAGATAAGACCCTTATTTCTCGGCTGGGATCGTGTAGAGCCCTTTAAAGCTGCATGTTTGACCTTGAAATCGTTGGCCACCATTGAAGTCCACTATATGGAGAAAAATCCTGGAATGTGTTCCTCAAAAAACAATTTCTTTTCGACTGAAGAAAGAAAGACATGAACATCTTGGATGACATGGGGGTGAGTACATTATCAGGAAATTTTTATTCTGGAAGTGGACTTATCCTTTAACCCCATCAATCTCTACAGTCGCTGATGATTCTGTGCATTAACGATTCTTTTTGTCTTACTTTTTGATAACCGTGTCGTCCAGCAGATCGATTTTGTTCTGCACCAGGACGGTGGGTATGTCCCCGACCTCCATCTCCACTTTCTCCCTCCAGCTGCTGATGGCCTCAAAGGACTCTCTGTCGGTGGTGGAGAAGACCAGCACACAGGCCTGAGCACCTGCAGGACCAAACACACGTCACAAACCCGCTCAAGCTCCCAGCCAAACACACGTCCACAGCGTTTCTAACAGTCTCACCTCTGTAATAGGCCTTGGTGATGGCATCAAACTCCTCCTGTCCCGCCGTGTCCCACAACATCAGCCTGACGTCCTCGCCATTAACTCTGAAACGCATGTAAACAAATGTAAAACTGATATGTGATCCTGGAGCACAAAACCAGTCATAAGGCAATGCATATTACTAATCAAAAATTCAGTTTTGATATATTTACGGTAGGAAATTTACAAAATATCTTCATGGAACATGATCTTTACTTAATATTCTAATGATTTTTGGCATAAAAGAAAACTATAATTTTGACCCATACAAGGTATTGTTGGCTATTGCTACAAATATACCAGTGCTACTTATGACTGCTTTTGTGCTCCGGGGTCACATATATGCATTGGTGTAATATCTAATAGACTGTTGAAATGTATTAAAACACATAAATTACGTGAAATAATTGGGTGAATCTCAAAAAAAAAAAAATGCTAAAACCATTTTTTAAAATCTGTTGGGGCCGCCTGACAGGTCACGCAGGCTTACAGCTGCAATTCACATCTGCTTTCATTCTCAGTTTGACTAAGCATTGAAACAGATGAAGCCACTGACAGCTCATTTGTTCCTCTTTTCGCTCTAAGAGTACAAACAGTAAACCGCACAGATTTTCTCTGGCATTCACTGCCGATGACACGTCTCGCGTTATACTGGAAAGAGACTGTGATCCAGGAACTACTGCTAAAAAAAGCAAGAGGATCTTCTTTCCCAAGGGGTTGCCTGATCTTCTCCACATGCTTTTTGTCATACTCATATTTAAATGCAAACATGAAGTTTGCTTGTTCTAAAGGTTTTTTTTGTCATATATGCCTGGACAAACATGAGCCAGATTTACTGGAATTTATTTTTCGGTTTAAAGTTTGTATGTATGAGTGGAATACTGTACCTACTGTGTATTCAGTGCAGGGTAGTGACTGATTACATGGAATCTGGATTGTGTAATCAGATTCCAAAAATTACAGTGACTTTTTACATGGATTAATTACATATTGTTCTGGACAAAAACATTTCAAACCTGGTACACTCTGGGTGTGTCATTGTTGTTTCCTTGCTTATTAATGTTTGTTCATGCAGTGAACATTCCCATTTTTTGTGAGCAAAATAAACTAAGATTAGATTAAGATTAGTTAATATTTCAATAATTTTGATTTTTATCACCTCACTGCAGTTCTTATTACATTAAGCCCAGTTTGGGAAACCCTGGTGTAATGTTGATATGAAAAATGGAATACATTTTCTTTCTCTTTTATTATATCAATATGGTATGCTTAATGGGAAGTTTAAAACAAGTTAGATAAAAAAAAAAAGTAGTCAGAATACATCACCAAAAACGAGTAACCCAGATTTCATTACTAACTAGTTTTCTTTTCATCATGTAAACGGTAATCAGTAACAGACTACAAATTGTAAGTAATCGACCCAGCACTGTACATACTCCTACTCATTTCTATCAAACATTATATGAAATAGAGGTGTACAGTACTGCCAAAATCTTGCTATGAGAATTATTAATCACAGTAACAGTATATGTGTATGAGTCCATTTCAAGTGGCCCAGAAAATGTAAAGTTGGTTGCTTGACTTTTTATTTATTTATTTATTTAATTACTTACGTACAGATGTAAGTGGGTCAAAGACGTTAAGATGTCTGCATCAAAATAAATTTACAAAAGTGATTTTATGTCCATAGAAAGCACATTAAAAGTAAGTAAAGTGTCTACTTTTAAGGTTTCAAATAAGTTTTTGGAGAATAAAATGTCAAAATTTGGTTACATTGTCATTCAGTGTAACACAATATTTATGTAAAAATTCAAACAACATGCTTATTCTGACGTGTACATATTAAAATATATAAAAGGTATAAGAGAGCATATATTAAATTTGATTGTTTTAAATGAGTAAAAAATTCTTACTGACAAATGGGCAAAACCTAGGATAGTGGCAAATTTTAAAAAATTTTAAATTACAACTAATTAGTATTGGGGGTGAAAGTAGTCTTTTAATATGTCATAGATTGATTTTTAATATGCCTGACAAGATTGTTACACTGAGGGTGTCTTCTGTAAATCAGGGGAAAATGTATGATATTTATTTTTTGCTTAAAATTGCAATTAAATTAAACAGAAAACTTTTTAAATTTTTTTGGGGGAAAAACAACAACAATTTAAAGCAGTATTACACTTTCTGTTTTTATGCTTAAACCCTTTTTCCTCTTTGACCCATGTATGCATTTATTTATGATTGACTCCCTTCATGTACTGGTATTTTTTATTTATTTATTTTTTGTATTGCACACTTTGTGTCATGGCCTACAACTAATTTAGGTTATACGCATGTTTACGGAAACAATATCTCAGCTCAGGATGGTCTGATTTTTTGAAAATCTATGGCAGCATTCTGCTGTAAACGTATGAGTTTCAGATTCCACTATTCATAACGAAGGAATAATGAGCCTTATCTTGGGTTAAAAACAAAACAGTCAAAATAACAGAATGAAAAAGAGTAGCTCAGCCTGTAAATTCTGAATTGATGAGCCATATACAAAGCTATTGTAAAGCAGCAGATATACACACACCAGTGATTTCTGTACTAATGTTGTAACAACCACAAATAACTCAAATGTGCTTCGCCTGACACTTTTTCCTCATCTTGCCCCGTTTGTCCTGCTCTCCATTTTCACGTTGTTATATTTCTTTGTCACTCTCACATGTCCATAATGTAAATCAGTCTGGTGCACTAAATCTACTGCACTGTGAACAGCATAGCAAAATCTCTACGGCCCTCCATTACTAGCACACCACAGACATTGCGTCAGATTTAGCAAGCTGCCCCCACATTATTAGATTGTCTTGACGCCGTTCTGCTGTGCTCCATTACGCTGTCACAGGATGATTAACAGTCACATCTTAGTCTGGTCTGCCTCAGCGGTCTAACAGCACTCACCAATGTCAAGATGACTCAAACGGCCAATCAAACCAAAGAAGGTGGGGTTTACTGTAAACAGAGCCTGAACAACGCTTCAGTTTTAACGGTGAAAGAGTGCAATGTAATATGTAAGGTAGCTAAACATTTAATATTTGACTACTGTTTTACGATAGAAATGTTAAACGACTTGTAAAAATAGGCTATCATTTACTTGATTTATGTTATTTACCCCATAACTGAATGCGACGCAACAACAAAAAACATTAATGGAGCTGATTTGGTGTATTATGCATAAGCTAAGATAAGCACTGAATGTGTGCATATTTTAAAATAAAAAGTATTATTTGCAAATAGTTCAAATTGATTCTTTACAATAAAATCATATTCTACTCTTCTTCTTTATTTCCTTAAATCCCTTTAAATTTGTTGATCATTTAATTCAAGTTAGCCTTGCCTACCGGCTTAAATAAAATGTCTTGATTGACAGCCAGAGAAAATCATTTGTAAAAGGAAGGTCAAAGTGAATGCATTGCATTGTGGGATACATAACCTAACATAACCCATGTGGTGTACTCTGCTTCTATACTACATATTGCACAAATGCAGTAGATCGTTCTAGTATCCGACATAGAAAGTAATGCTATTCCAAACATCGTCTTGGATTACTCGATTTCTAAAGAAATGGTTTCCTTCATCCAGGTATCCAGGGTGGCATTTTAATGCAGCCAGCCTTAATGCGGTCCAACTGCCGAGCAACAAGGCTCAAACATAGAAACCAAAGAGCGCAGCATTTCAATGCGACCTGACTGAAGCGTAAAAGCATGCTTACATGATCTGTCTTTCCAGAAAGTCAACCCCGATGGTCTTTTTGTAGTCCTTCGTGAAGATGCCCTTGCAGTATCGCTGGATCATACTGGACTTCCCGACCGCTCCGTTCCCCACCACCACCACCTTGATGGCCACTTCCATGTCCTCCTCCAGCATGGCTGCGATGTGCCTGCGCTTTCACCTCACTCCGGCCCGGCTTAGTGCTGCTCTAGGATCTTCTCAACTCTAGCCTGTTTTATGAAACAGTAGACAGATCAGTCATAATCCCACACATCAGCACATTTTCACCATCACTGTCGATTCCTGCATCATGACTAGACGTGACCTATTAGTCTCGGAGTGTTTTGGGTCAGTTTCCGTTAAGTAAGCGCCTGCCGTGGCTCTGGGTTGTGCTCACCATGGCTGACTTCCCACTTCATGATGCATCTTGCATGGGCAATTTGTTTATTTTGAAGATTTTTTGCATTGCAACTTTATTTTTGTAACAAATAAGTCCATTTGCCCACAGATACTTTTTACTGTAATGCATCTAGACTTTAAATTTGAAAAGTCTTTGACTTTGAATTTCTATTATTCTGAATGGTGACCATGAGTTATATAATCCAAGGATGTATCATTTAAATCAGCTTACGCTGAAGGAAGTACAACAAATACTACCATAGCGATACTAGATTTTAATTATATATTAAATATTAAAAAGTTATTTGTTTATTTTTTAGTAATGAGAATTTGGGAGAAGTGATGTAACCGGTGTTGCGGCTTAACACCGGTATCACCGTCAGCACCGTCTATCGCGGCAAGCCTAGAGAACATGCGTTTAACTGTCATGAAAGGAAATTCACAAGGAAACAAAACAGATTCCTTTCTATTAGGGTTGCAAAGGGGTGGAAAATTTCCGGAAACTTTCCAAAAATCCCTGGAATATTCCAAAAAATCCTGGAAAGTTTCCATAATTTCTGGAATATTTCCGAAATGTACTGGAAATGTTCCACTTTTTTGCAACCCGACTTTCTAAAAGTATTACTGAGTATTTCAGTATTAAATTTTTGGTTTTAGGGAGAAATATAACCAGACGTGTTTTTGACACCCATAAAGGCCCAGCTTTTACTCTCAAAATAACCTGGTTGCAAATCAACACAATTATAACAATGAAAACTGGATAAATTTGCCAGAACAACTGCTGTTAATATAGTCACACAATAAACAGGAAAACAACAGTGTTAATCTGGCCAAAGTCACAAATTCGATTTTAGCTGTAAAGCAGCTCTACAGAAGATAATAGTGCCATTATGCAGCTCAATTGAGTTGAAGAACAGAGCGAGTGCTGCAAGCGTCATTAGTTATGAAGTGAGCTCTACAGCAGGTGACAGTGTCATCACTCAGCTCCTGTCAGTTCAGTTCAATAGCTGCACAGTTCACCAGGTCTGAAACAAGTTCATTTCAGATGCAAGCAGCTCTACAAGAAGACGACAGTTTATCTGCAGCAGGAGTCTTGAACGTGAACGCAAAAATGCAATCCAAGAATGCTGGATAGATAGCAGCGCGACAGTAGCGCTTACATATTAGGTTACGTTCCCCAGGCCTCCCGCGTTTCTGCTGGGTAACTAAATACAGCAGCCAACCTGAGACAACAATGACACGCATGAGTCTTTCACACCATCAGCCTTAATAAAATAAGCTTATACTTATTTATCACCCTAAACCCTAGTACATCCCTACAACTTATTTTATTTATTCTATTCCTATTCCATCTATAGCACACCTGTACATACAATTTATTCTTTTTTTTGTGGTTTATATTTATGCATGTGTATTTTATTCACATCTTATTTTTATTATCTGTGTGTTGTTGTTGTCTCCGTGTACTGGAAGCTTGTGACACTATAACAAATTCCTTGTATGTGCAAACATACTTGGCAATAAAGCTCTTTCTGATTCTGATTCTGACTCTGATAAGCTCGCAAAATGATGGCCATACACGCCAAAAAATAGGATTCAACCACATCATATCTTTCCAATCATGTTCTTAATTGTATTTAATTCCTTCAATAGTATTGATGTTTTAATGCATTAATACTTTTTAAATCATATAAATATTTTCGCCATTTTAATTTGACTTCTACATTTATAGATCAATGTAAACCACCAAACAGATATTTTAAAATATGTTAAGAAAGCATTTCACTGACCGGATTAGACTTCCTTCCTTCCGTTTGGTTCTGCTTTTAGAACAAAAGCCGGATCCCAGCGTTCGTTCTTGACAGGTGTTTGTGAGGTCTGGCTGTCTGAAGGGCCCACTGCGTTACTGCCATGGCACTGAGATCCACGTAACCAAGGAAGTCTGTGTGATATACAGAGCGCAGTCTCTCAGTGGGGCTATATACAGCAGCTGGACAGAAAACACACACAAGACAAATGTGCGAAACTCTCTCGGAGCACCAAAACTTCAAAGAAGCCCATCTGTTCGTGGTCAAATTACACACATCACACAACCTCTCACACAGGATTTCATGTGTTGCAGTCAGTCTGTTTAAGAGATCTACTATACTATACTTTGCTTATTACACTAGGAAAAAAAAATATGGTTACACTTGGTTAAGGTCTTAACCACTTAACCACCAAAATATGGTTAAGGTCTCCTTGTTACAGTGTAATTATACATTTAAGTACTGAGTAAGATTAATTAACTACATGCACTTACTATATGGTTAGGGTTTGGCTTAGTGTTACTTGTATGCAATTATGCATAATTTATTATTATTATAATAGTAAAGTGTAACAAGGACACCGTAAAACAAAGTGTTACCAAAAATAATGGAGGGTAAGGCTTAGACATCAAAGTACCATGGTACCATCAATATCTATAACCATACTTTTTGTAAGGGTAATTTCTATTGCAAAAAGTACAGTTTACCAAATTCATTTAGATGCTACTCCAAGTTACTTCAACTTAATCCCAAGGAACCACCATATTTTTTAAAGGTAATTCAATCCAAGTTCTTGTCAGATAAGGTTAGGGTTTGGTTTAGGGTTAGTTGGTGGTAATTATGCGCAGTTGTGTTTACAACAGTAAGTAGATGCTACATGTAACAAAGACACTGTTAAGTGTTACCAAGAACAATACTGTGATATTAGTTATTTATCAGAGAGTAAGAGCATGATACTTTGTTATACAGACGTGATTACCGTGATATTTAGCTGACACTTCGAATAATACCGTGGTACTAAAACAGTTGTTAGTAATATCGTCGCGGTGTCTCACCTGCATTCGTGTGTTACCAGGTTACATAGTTTCCTCTTTGAAGACCCGACTCGGTTATAATCATAAACGCGGACTGTCCAGGGGATCCAAACACACAGCTCCAGTGATTTATCAATCCAAACACATCTGCTGAATGTAAATAGAAGCCAGCAGCAGCTGTATGGAGCGAGCTTTTTTGCGTTTGCAGAGTTTATCAAAGGAGTGGCCTCCTCCTCCTTTACTGCTCCCCCTCTCTCTGTGTGTGTCTCTTACACAGACTAACAATCCCGCTTGGATACTCCAGAGTCCAGCGGGCTCTGAGGACGCAGATGTCCGCAGATACAGCAGCGTCTTCACGCGCTTTGGGTGATTCGCGACTGTGCGGTGTGCGCCGGGGCCGCAGCACTGACTGAAGCGCGGAGACCACCAAACACCAAACACTTTCAAAATAAAAGCCTGTCTTGACTTCTCAGAACTTCAGCACAACTGGAACGATGCAAAATGAGAAATCAATCAGCAGAGAAGAGCTGATCCCATAAGAAAACATGGCAGATTTCAAATAGCATATATGCTGGGCGGTTCAGCGTCAATGATGGAAAAACTAAAGAAATGATCAGCACACTTTGATTCATCAACAGCTTCAGACCTGTGATGCCTCATCCGATGTGTCGCAGCTATCCCTTTTTATATTTTTTTACCATGTTAAGAAAATAGTATCATCAAAATGATAAAATTGCATTTTTAGGGAGTGTACATACACTGCTCAAAAAATGTAAGGAACGCTTTGAAAACATCAGATCTCAACGGGGAAAAATATCATGCTGGGTATCTATACTGATATGGACTGGGTAATGTGTTAGGAACGAAAGGATGCCACATCGTTTGAATGGAAATGGAAATTATCAACCTACAGAGGGCTGAATTCAAAGACACCCCGAAAATCAAAGTGAAAAAATGATGCAGCAGGCTAGTCCATTTTGCTGAAATTTCACTACAGCCACTCAAAATGGTACTCAGTAGTTTGTATGGCCCCCCATGTGCTTGTATGCATGCCTGACAACGTCTGGGCATGCTCCTAATGAGACGACGGAGATCTGGACCAGGGCATCACTGAGCTCCTGGACAGTCTGAGGTGCAACCTGGTGGCGTCGGATGGACCCAAACATAATGTCCCAGAGGTGTTCTATTGGATTAAGGTCAGGCGAGCGTGGGGCAGGCACAAAATCACTTTCACTGACTTTTTCATTAACTGTTCCCTCCTGGTGGAATGACCTGCCCAAATCAATCCGAGCAGCTGAGTCCTTAACCATCTTCAAGAAACGACTAAAAACACATCTGTTCCACCTTTATTTGACCCTCTAACTCTAGCACTTTCTATTCTATTTTAATTCTACTTTATCTACATTTATCTTTTTTTATTCTTTATTTAAAAAAACAAAAACAAAAAACAAACACTAGCTTTCTATTTTTTCTATTCTATTTTCTTGTTTTTCTTTGTTTGTGTGTGTGTGTATGTATAATATATATATATATATATATATACACCTTGCTACGTGTACTGCGTTAGGCTAACCGAGACTTGTCATTTGCACTTATATATTGTTGCTCTTTTGTTAGTTTTGACTGCTTTTATTGTCCTCATTTGTAAGTCGCTTTGGATAAAAGCGTCTGCTAAATGACTAAATGTATTGTCGTGCACCAGGAGGAACCCAGGACCCACTGCACCAGCGTAGGGTCTGACAGTGGTTCCAAGGATTTCATCCCAATACCTAATGACAGTCAGGGTGTCATTATATATAGACTTTAAGTTAACAAATCAAGCAGTGACTAGTTGAGCGGAGTAAGGAGACAGTTCCCCTCCAAACTGTATGCATTCAGTCATTCAGTGCCAGAGAGTTTTAATCAACAGCTAAAGTAATGAAGCAGCCAGTCAATACATTTATTGTGATTAAAATGTCTTACAGACATGATATACAGATCTTTTTTTTTTTTTTTTAATCCATTAGAAAAGAAAAAATAGTGCAAAGTGCAGAGACTTGACACACGCATAAAATCATCAAACTCAACTGGTAAACTATGGCACTTGCAACAGCGAGGACATGAGTGCAATTTCCTGGAAATACCCATACTGATCAAATGTATGCATCGAATATATTTAATGTTATTTTTGATAAAAGCTTCTGCCAAATGTAAATGAGAATACTTTGTACGATTAGTAAAACATGGGATTGTCATTTTGGGGCCCCAAGCTAATTTTGTAATTGAGGGAGCCTTCTTTACAGTCACCTTTTCTAGTCAGTGTAGACCAGGGGTGCCCAATCCTGCTCCTGGCGATCGACGGTCCTGCGAAGTTCAGCTCCAACTCTAATTAAACACACCTGCCTTTAATTTTCAAGTGGTCCTGAAGACCTTAATTACTAGTTGCTTTAGGTGTGTTTGATTAGGGTTGGAGCTGAACTTTGCAGGACAGTCGATCGCCAGGAGCAGGATTGGGCACCCCTGGTGTAAACTATCCTATATTCCTCATTCTTGATCAAATTTGATTAAGTGCAAATTTGCTTCTTTTTTCAAAGAGCATACATCTTTAAGATTAGAAGAATTTTAGCAAAAATATAAACGTTTTAATAAAAAAAGGCACATTAATGTCTTGCCACATAATTTCCCCCTTGAACTCAGATCTTGGCATTTTTCTAAACACTAAGTAGTAACATCACGACTATATTATGAAATGCTTGCTCGTGAGGCATTCAGAGTAATGCTGTACTGTTTTGTATTTATGTACCCTAACCTAAAATGTATTTTCAGCCAGAGAAATGTACAATTACAGAAAAGTGTTTGGCAGATATTAACAGTAGCTTTCAGTAGACAGATGAGTATGGTGTTATCACAGCGACCACTTTACAAATGTAACAATAGACCACTGCCTGGAAGTGTGCATATGACATAATCAAGTGATATATTCAGCTTGGCAAAGTTCTCCAATGTGAAAGTTACAGCAGCTGAAATTCTCATTGGTTAACGGATGCCTACATCAGAGTGCGTTTCAGTAAAAATGATCATTTTCACATAAATTTCACATTTCACATCAATTGATTCACATAACTTTCTAAAGTGGCACAATCACTACACTCTAAGAAAAGCCTGTAAAAATACTGCTCAGTGTACGGGAAATATATGTTTTCTTACACAGTGTACTGTGTAGATGCCCTTAATATTATTACCTGCTCTTTTGTTGTTTTTACTTGTATGTTTCGCTAGCAAAATTATTTTATTCACACATTCATTTAGTTTAATGCAGGTTAGTGGGGAAACTCACCATGGCACTGTGAGAACCAGACGTCACTGCCTGCATTGTACACAGCTTTGATTTTTAATGTAGTTTTGTCTCTGCGCACACAACACAAGCCTACTGATCAATGTGTGAAATTGTTAATGGACCAATAAATGATTACAATGACTTGGTGTGAACAAGCCTTCTTTCCACAAGAAATGGAAAAATCTTCCAGTGTCATTCTTACACACGTTCAGACCTAAAGCACTGGTGGTCGAGGGCCATATCCCTCAGTACAGTCCCCCGGACTCATCTCCTGCAGGAATTTGGGACGGTCATAGTCAGACAACCTGCCAAAGCCTTCAGAGTCTTCACAATCCATGTCCTCTTCAGAAACCTCAGATAGATCCACTACGGTGTCATCAAGTGTTGAGACGGTTTTGCAGGCTTCCTCAGTCGGGGAACTGGGGGGTCCCTGTGATGTCACTGGACAAATGTCTGTCGGCTCAGGTTGGGAAACAAGCATTGTATGAGATTGCCTGGAGATAACGCACCACTGCATGTGGAAAGGAGCAAACGGTATTGCTAATGAAGAGTCAACAGCAGATCACCAGACACATCACAAATACAAAACACTGCTGAATAACAAAGGAACAGTTCTAGAATTATGAAGAAAAAAACACAAAGTGAAAGGACTGAAAGACACATACCAAACCTTGAGGCATTTTGGGGATTTTGGACCATTTCCTCCAAAGCAGCCACACAAAGCCAATGATAATGAAGAGCACAATGGTCCCTCCGCCTAGCAAAGCTGCAATTATTCCCGTTTTGTCTACAGAAAAGTCAAGAACAATTCAATGAAGTGTATACTCTAGTACTCACAAATAATAATGACTTTATTTAAGGTAAAGATAAAGTTCAGAAAAATATTTATGAATTAAAACTGTTTTTAGCAACATTTCTCTTGCTTTATCCACTGCCTTGGATTGGATTGTTGCAACAAGTTTGTTACAGTGTATTATGGGATTGTATTCTCTTCTTAATAGAGACCCAGATAGCAAAATTCCTAAGGCCCAGATCAGGCCCACACCTGACACTTTCATCTGGCCGACATTCCGCGTGGAATGATAGCAATTGGGCATTCCACTCCTGTTTGCCAGATTTGGGCCACAAGCAAGCCAAAAGAAGGCCCAATGTCAGCCATGAATAGACCAAATAAAGCAGAACTGGCCCAAATTTATTTTAATTCTGGCCCAGATCCGACCCAGATCTAACACCTTGCTCCAGCCCACATACTGTTTATAATGATGGCATTTGGGCGGTCCACTCCCGTTTGCCAGATTTGGGCCACAAGCAAGCCATAGGAAGGCCGCATGTCAGCCATAAAAATAAATAAATAAAAGAAACTACAACGGGCCCAAATCTGGGCCACATTTATTTTAATTCTGGCCCAGATCTTACACCTTACTCCGGCCCACACACTATGTTGAATGATGGCATTTGGGTGGATCACTATTGTTTGCCAAATTTGGGCCACAAGCAAGCCATAGGAAGGCCGCATGTCAGCCATGACAATAAATAAATAAAATAAAGTAGAACTGCCAAATTCCACATTTATTTGAATTCTGGCCCAGGTCCGGCCCAGATCCAACACCGTGCTCCGGCCCACATACTGCGTGGAACAATGGCATTTGGGCAGTCCGGTTCTGTTTGCCAGATTTGGGCCTCAAGCAAGCCTTAGCATTGCTGCATGTAAGCCAATCAAATAAACCAAAACTGGCCCTAATGTGGGCCACAGTTGATTTTTATTCCAACCTTGGTCTTCCCCACATTCCTCATGTGGCCCACATGCTGCATGGAATGGTGGCATTTTGGCAGTGGTCCACAAGCAGGCCACTACACAGCCACATTTTAGCTAACAATGAACCAAATGAACCATAAATATACATTATCTGGGCCACACTAAGCCTTAAGTGAGTTATGCATCAACAATACTCAACATTGTAAAGAGAAATTTAAAAATGTCCTCCATAAATGTTCAAATAAGTTCCAGAAATGTGTCCTACTTGATAAAATCCCTACCCAAGTTTTGCAAAAGCAGCAATTAAAATATCACAGATAAATATTCAAAGACACACTCCAATACTTTAAAAACTGTTCTTCACAAGTTTGAACTTAAATGCTTCTCACTCAGACTCTACCTACACAGTAAGTCTGTGAGTGTCATAGCTACACTGTGTTAAAGAGCACACAACGATGAAAGGTTATGTAGCATAAGTCGCTATGGGGAACACCTTCAGTGTGACCGGTGTCTGAAGCACATAT